CACGGCAGCTGGAGCTCGCGCGCAACCTTGCAGGGCTCCTCGCGCCGACGTCGGGTGCGATGCTCTTCGGCTCGCATGGCGGCCGCTCGATCAAGGGCCACCGTGCCGTCACAAACGCGTGGCGCACGGAGCCCATGTTCTGCCACTCCCCCGAGACGTGGATAGACCTCTGGGACGGAATCATCTTTCCCAAAGGGATGGTGAGGGTGGAAGCATACTTGAAGAAATCGAAGCTCCACAAGGAAGAGCCTGCAGCAGACGAGGGATGGTCTGGATCATTGGTCTGGTCTGTAACGAGGCTGTAGGGGTCTGTCAATGTCATATGAGAGCAATTTGCACATGGACCGACTGAAGCAAATGCGCCGCGCGAAGTGTCATGTAATTTTACCGCCTCTTCATAAAGGGAGCCTTGGGAATTGGTATGCATCTGTTCCAAAGACAATGAGCGTCATCATTTTTGGTATTCAAAAAATAGATCTCGTTTTGACACTCTGACCATCATTGTTCTCCGGATGTACAATTGCCGCAAGGCTTATCAGTAATTTCAGACTGAAGGTGAGGGCCGGAGACATGCGCTGCCTACTTTAAAATCCAGACGAAACAAAAGCAATACCAAGCGGTGATTATATCCACAGTATGTACGTACAAGCCATCTTGATATCAGCAGGAATTACTACTTCGTCGTGGTGCGTTGCTCCTTCTGAACATCTCTAGATTCTCGTAGTCTTTTACACTTTGGGAACTTCAGGGTCTTCAAGTGGCGGAGGGCCGTTATCGTCGTCGTCGTCGGACTCGATATCAGCGCCAGACGGACCCGCATCGCCCAAGTCGCCTGCACCGCTCTCTCCCATCGACTTCATCATCTAGGGTACTATGAGCCCCGAAGCACATAGGAGGGGACAAAAACTCATCACTCGCCTGCTCGAAGTCCATGCCACCCATACCACCCATGCCTGGCATTCCGCCCATACCACCCATACCTGGCATTCCACCCATGCCGCCCATACCCGGCATTCCACCCATGCCACCCATGTCAAGATCCTCATCGACTACAGTCCCCTGACCATCCTGCTCATCCTCATCTACCCATTTGCTGAAGTCAGTCTTTACAAATGGCGTCTTGATTTTCTCTTTCATGAGGCGCGGCCAATACTCGGCCTGCTTCTCCTTCTTGCGGAGGACGAGCGTGAGCGAGCGGCTCGAGAGACTTTTGTGTGATTCCTGTACGCAGATGGCAAGCGATCGTGGGTCAGCGTCCGATGGGTGCAACGCACAGGATTGATGGGGAGACGCACCTCGGGGACGACTTCGCCATAGAAGTCGAGGTTGAACGCGTAATCCCGCTCCTCTAGTCCCTTCTCGGCACTTGGATGGGAGCGGTCAGTTTGTGCGACTGCTAGCGTAAAAAACCGTGGGACTTACTTGCCCGCTTTTGCTTTGAAGGAGATCGATGTGGAGGTGAGGTTGTACTCGAGGGTCTCAGGCTTGACGTCGGGGAGGTTCACGGTGATATAGAGGACGTTCTGCACCAAGCAAGACGCGCCGATTGGCCGATTGGGCACGGTCAGCGGGTGCGCAAACGAGGACGACGATCAGCGACAACCTACTTTTGAATCGTCGGTTTCTGAGCTGCGCTGTGCCCAAAGGACTTCGGGGTGGACTGCCATCGTTGTCGGTGATGTTGAGGAAAGAGGCAGATCGAGTAATAAACGCAGGTGGTCGAAGGCTCCGGAATTTTGGAGAAGACGACGCGGGGTAGACGCCGGCAATGCGGGCGCTTGCATAGTCGCCCTTTCTGGGCTAGGCACGTGCGCAGGGATCTGTTTAGGGCCGGCAGAACGCTAACGCCAGAGCGCCGACGTGCAGTCGCTCGCGCTTTGATTTCGCCGAGCAGGCGCTGTCTACTATCCAGTGCATTGCACTTCTGTTCTCTGTCTGTCCCTCTCCACGTCGCCGGCTTCAGAGATGTGGTGCGCAATTTCTCTTCGCTATGGTACTGCAAGATTTATTTTTCTGACCGAACCCTTCTGGTACAGGTGCACGCGGTGGTACCTCCCGCTCGTGCTGCTGCCATTTTCAATTGCGTCACCATACTTCCTGTGGGTTTTCATCTTCTCGACGACACTGCATGCACGCCCATGGTAACTACTCGCGTCCTGAAATTGTTCTCATCCGCTGATCCGCTGATCTCATTGTCAGCTTTTATTGTATCGTCCTGCTGTCCGCCCTATTCATGTCCTCCTGCTACTGGCCGCCAGCTCCGCTTGACAGCACGCTGACCGTACCATGGCCAGGAAACATAACCACTTTTGCCGAGGCGCTCGACTCCCTCTTGCCTGGCATACCCGACGACCTGAAGCCTGTCGACGTAACCATCCTCGACCGTTGTTGGTGCGACATATCCAGTAACGGATTCTTCGAGCCATATAATGTCACAGAATGGGAGCGGAGGAGTGTCCTACGTGTGAAGGAATCCGTGGAGCAGAAGATGGAAGCGCGACGGCGAGAACTGGCGGCGGAAGAGTCTGCACACGAAAATAGCGCAGAAGTCGTAGAGGACGCTGCAGGTTCCTCTGACTTGGAGCCATCATCACCTGTTGATTCAAATAACGGAGAGCCCTCTGCAAAATTATCTATGCCAAGTATTCGAGAGATGATGCGGTCTTTCATGCGCACATACACTCTGAACCGAGACTCAGAGTCAGAACTTGCCCCATCTCCAAACACGACCCTCGAACACCCCTCATCATCCTCCGAAGTGTACCACTCGCAAACAAATGCGAGCTCTGCACCATCGCCTTTCCCCTTCCTCCTAGGTGCTCCTGACGAAAAATTACCACTCTTCCGGCGAGAGTATGACCTACGCCCGTACGGTCTCGCTCTCGTCTTGGATTTTGGGTGGTCAAGCTCAGATCCATGACCTCTCGTGCTGTTCGTTCCCTGCACGCGTCCTGTCGTGTTTCAATGATTCTTATGAAGTGTACCCATAGACTCAATTCCTGTATCGCAGCGTATCTAATATCCTTAATACGGAACCTCAACGGAAATACTGTATTCATACGCAAGAACGGTGGTTTGAATGCAATACATTGCTATCTTAGGAGCCTCGCATATCACACTGATCGTTTATACCTGGTGAAGACACCGGAGGGAAAAGTTGGACAAGCAGAGTAGCAGCCTTCCTTCGGGAGACTAAGCGATATCGGAATGACAGGGCCTGACGCACATTTCCTGATTGTGCGCTGAAGGTACAATGCACAAGTCGAACTTAAGTGTTCATGACATGCGGTGGTATGTATTTTATGGATGGTGTTTGATATGCAGCGAGGTATCCAAGAAGATCTACAATGAATACTCTACGTTTTTCAACAAGTCCTCCCATTTAAACCCTTCAGGATTGTCGTGGAAAGCTTGCAGTAAGGCTGTTCGCTCGTTCTCCCCTTCGTTCCAAAGATAGAACTTCTGAATAGCGATTGCCAGCAACTGAGCATCTTGTTGGCACAGGAGATATCTTCCGTCGTCCGTAACAGTTGCCCCGGTGGACACGTTTGCTGTGGATGGTGTAATCTCACCACGTAGCATGACGACTCCGTGCGACTTGGCGAGGTCCGTGTAGTGGGTAAGGGCGAGGTACGGCGTAGCGAACGACCCTCGGAGTTTATACTCTTGGAGAGGAGTGAACAGGATCGTCGATGTCTGGGGATTCGAGGATATCTGCGAGTCCTTGGAAAAAATGTCCGTGCTGATTGACGGTGGTGCACCGTGAAAACCCCATTCCATGAAGTAGAATTCGTATGCTGGTTGGTCCTCGCCTTGCTCCGTTTCATTTGCCTGAGCGTTTAGTCGAGGAATAGGGACGACGAAGCTGGGATACCGAGTGGCAACGCCCAGCATCTTCTCATATTTGTCTACCGGTACACAAGCCGAGAGGAAGCCACGACCTGTACCTCCAGATCGTGAAGAGTGATAGGCTCTCCACAAGACAGACAATTGTTCCGAAGTGTGAGGCGTTCTCAACAACTTCTCTAGGTTGAGAATACTGTTCAGAGGCTGAAGAAGTATGAGGACTTGCTGCCTCTACTGTGAGCTCAACAACATACCTTTACCGGTGAACTGTCTCTTCGAGTAGAAATATTATCTACGGGAAACTTTCCTTTCAATGAAGGCTGCGATTGAGTGGTACTTGCAGTAGAATCATCAATGGTAGAGGCTTTTTGCGACTCGAGGAGTAATCTCTGTTTTCGTTTCTCTTTCTCCTGCTCACGAAGTTCGCTGCGAAGCTCGGCGACGCTTTTACCTTGCCTCAGAAGAATCACAATGTTAAAATGGCTAGAAACTGCACGCAATAACATCCCGACTCACTCTCTCGCACGGCTTTCTAATTTCGCTGCATATTTCGACTCGTAGTCCACATGTCGGACTGTCTCGAGAACATGCTCTCTGAGCGGGCGATGAGATATGCAGAAATTACATCGTTGAGCTGGCCGTCTGACCGCCGGTGATAGTAGGGAGTAGCGCGCTGCTCGAAACATTGTACTGGGACGGAGCCAGCAGAAATGCAGGAACTAATTCCCGAAGAGGAAGGAGCACTGCGTGGGAGTGACGCGACTCACGTGTGCAGAGGAACCGGGACATGCCGCAACGAGTGACGGAGAGTTCGCGTTGGCCTGCATTGGGCCTGCAAGTGAAGTATCCGCCACAACCTGTATCTTGCGCACATCTACCAGCTGCCCCTTCAACCGGCACCGCAACACCTTTGCGGGCCAGTAGTGGCATGGCTTACTCCAGCAGAGCCCAGGACAAGAAACGTGAGCACCGTCCGCCTCCTCTGGCCGAAGCATCGTCTTCTAGTAGGCTCGACGTCGTATCCAAGGCAATCCTGGCTCCGTTCACTCACAGGAAACATGATTCCACGAAGATGCTCGCGGAACGTGTGTATAACTCTCTCTTTAAATTGTCCAGCTACCTAGCAATCTTATAGTGGCCCCCGTCATCATGACGCCCCGCATGATGAATGCCGCAACAATCTCTGGAAAGTCTCGCGCATCGCTCGGTGGTTCCAGCGCGCGCATGGACTTCGCGACGCTCGGGCGTGCGCCTCTGCAGATGACGCTCGGCAGACGACGAGTGACCTCGCGTGACTTGCAAATCGTTGAGGCGACGGACGAGTTGCTCGGCCAGGATGTGCCTGAGCCGGATGGCGTCGCTCAAAATGTCAGTCTGTTGCGGGGCTTCAACGCGACAATTCCAAGCGCAGAGAAGAGTCGCATCCGACGGAGACAAACTCGCAATGTGGACACGCCGAGGCTGGGACTGAAGAAATTGGGGATGGGTGCGAGAGGGATGCTGGCCGACGATGACGACCATGAGGGTGAGAGTGTGGCAAGTGAAGATGACGTGGTAGTCGTCTCGAGCGCGGAGACACGAGGCCGAAAAAGCAAGGCTAAGCGGAGAGGTAGGCAAAGTCTGAGTGCGGGCAAAACGTTCGGTCGGGACGAGCTAGTTCGGCAGACTCAGGAGATTAAGCGTGATAAGGAGAACCTCCATGTCCGGAGAGTGAGTTACATAGCTCTGCCATCGAAATCCTCTTGATTCTAATCGGATTCTACAGACCCTTATTAACAACGAGATCACGGAGATTACTAACAAGATCGACGCTCTGGATGCTATGCGGGTTAAGCTGGAGCAGGATTTGCTCAAACTGCAAGAGGATGAGCTTGAGTTGGACGACGAGCGTAAGTGTTATCTAGCGGTAGCATGCTTGCCGTTGACAATGCACTACAGTCGAAGGTGTGAAAGAGCGGCTGGAACTGGAGGAGTCTACGAGTCGAACACGGGGTGTCACACATCCAGAACATGTTCTGCAGAGTTCACGCAGACGGAAAGGTTTGTGCAGTTATCTGCGGTAGGTTGTCTACGCTGAATTTCTATTCTTCTAGGACCTGCCTTCTTGCCGTCAGAACATGACGAACTCCCTCCAGGCGTGGCCTTCATGGTGAGACATTTTTAACTTACTCTGAATGCTGTTACTTGATGCCGCACTAGACGTTGGCTGGACATTCGACGCCGATCACAGCTCTTGACTTCTCAGAGCCGTATGGGACTCTGGTTAGTGCATCCCAAGAGGATTCAGAACCTCGCGTATGGGATCTTCTGACTGGAGACGAGGTCGGACGTCTCCGAGGGCACAAGGGGACAGTCAAGTGCATCCAGGTGGAAGACCACGTATGTTTGACAGGTGGCGAGGATGGTACAGTCAGGCTCTGGGACCTCCGAAGAGTTGACGAAGATGAGGACTGGGAGGGTGAGATGCTTAGTTTGAGTGATGTTGCAGAAGAAGATGAGGATGACGAGAGGCCGAAGACAAACGGAATTCGTTCCAGTGTGAGCAAGCCTTCCAGTGTTGCTGAGAGGAATGGGCCGTGTGTACGGGCGTTAGAAGGGCACACCAAAGCTGTATCAGCACTTTATTTTGAGGACGAGTGCCTGGTGAGTCGCTCATACAACACTGGCGGAACAAGTTTCCAACTAGTTTTGCCCTTGTAGGTTACTGGCGCCTCGGATAAGACGATGCGGCAATGGGACCTCAACACTGGGCAATGCGTCATGACCATGGATATCCTTTGGGCGATCTCGCATGCGCCATCGCCGGCTCCGGGTGCCCCGTTGCTGAACCACTTGTTCCCTGGTGCCGCAGCGGCAGCTGGCTCATTTTCTGTTCCCATGCCTCCGTATGCAGATGGAAGTTGGAACATGTACCAGGACTTTGTTGGCGCAGTGCAGTTCTGGGGATACGCGCTCGTCAGCGGTAGCGGAGACAGTGCTGTACGAATGTGGGACAGTGAGTAGCCGGGATCTTTCGTGCGTGAGTTTGGTTGAACTCACGCCGATGGTCTAGTGCGGACCGGCCAACCACATCGTACACTGCTGGGTCACACTGGGCCCATTACCAGTTTGCAATTTGATGAGCTACACGTGGTCAGTGGTAGCCTCGACAAATCGATTCGGGTGAGTCCTCAGGCCTGGCATGCCGAGATGCAGAGCTGATGAATTTGAGGAAGATATGGGACCTACGAACAGGTGGCATCTTCGAGACCCTCAAGTACGATCACGCTGTCACTGCGCTGCAATTCGATACGAGAAAGATCGTCGCAGCGACAGGGGATAACGGCGTCAAAGTGCGTGATAATTGGTCCTGCCTCTAATACTCTCCTCACTGGTATTAAGATATACAACCGTACAAGTATGCAACATTCCACGCTCATGATCAATGGACACACGAAGCCCGTGGAAAGGCTTCGATACATGGATCGATACCTTGTTTCCGGCGGACATGATTCCACAGTCAAGATCTGGGCTCTATGACATCGATTACGGCGCCTCTAGCCAATTCCTCTGTTTCGGACATTGGGTCTTGTCTGTCATAGTGGACTCCTTGGTCTATGCAGTAGAGGAACCATTGTAGCATACAACGCAAACTATTGCTTAGAATACACGCGCTCGGGATGAAGTATTCACTTGATCGACGGGAAAGTCACGATCGGTCACATACCACCTGTTGTGACTGATCGTAACAGTAAAAAATCATTATTACTTTGGAGCGTCGACTCAACTGGGGACGCTCGGAAGCTTCGCCTTAGCTTTCTGCGGAATCTCCAATATCTCATCTTGGGGAATTGTTTCTCGTGGCTCTTTGTATACTGAAACAGGAGGCCATTATTCGCAACATCCTCAACAATCGATTCACGCTGTCGGCAAGCAACCGTGGCGGACCTTCGACCGGCTGCATTTACGAGCACACCTTCGAGGGTGCACTATCCGCTCATTGATTTACCCGACGACCAGCTCTTTCGTCACGTACTCGGCCAATTCCTCCTCTCCATCATGCAGCCTCAGGCGCCAGGCACAAGCGAAGCTTCCCTGAATCCACAACATGCACACCCAGGACTCAAGAAAATTCCCTCGTACTGGTACCCTTACACAACAATGGCGAAAGCGAGGTGGCTTGGGAGGGAAATATTAGAGGTTGTGTCTACAGAGTTTCGTGACAGATCTATGGAATACTATGTACGCATACATTTTAGCGTTATTGCAAACGGCACAGTGAAGTGAGCTTATTGATCGCAAGATCAGAGATACGCCCTGGAGTCTGGAGTCACCACAGTAAATGGGAAGGTTGCAAAGCCCGACACCATCATTCAGAACGGTGACCGCATTGAGTAGGTCTGGTCATGTCTTTAGAGTCAATCCCATATTGAATGAAAACAATGCACCACAGAAACGTGGTTCACAGACATGAGCCTCCAGTGACCTCGACTCCTGTCCGTATCATACTGGAGGATAAAGAGCGTGAATTTATTGTTATTAATAAACCAGGATCTATTGTGGGCTTGATTTATTTCTTCGCTTGCTCTTAGAAAGTGGTGGTAACGTCCGTTCAATTTAGCCTGTGCATGCATCTGGAAGGTATTTTCGCAACAGTCTTGTTGAGATATTGAAGAACGATTTCGGATACCAAAAAGTCTACAGTATGTCTAACCCCTTTCGATGGCAAACGCCTGCAATATGCTCATACCCGTGCACTCAATATCTCCAGCAATCAATAGGCTAGATAGGTTGACATCTGGCCTCATGATCATTCCCCTTTCCGCTTCCCGAGCGAACACCCTCACTCAGGAATTTGCCGCTGGGACAATCAGAAAGGAGTATATCGCACGCTGTAAAGGCGAATTTCCTGAGTATGTCTTAGTAGCATCAAGCGCGGACATCTGTTGATGAATGGTCCCCAACACTAGGGAGGTTACATGCGAGGAACCCCTTTTAACAGTTGATAGACAGATGGGTCTTAACATTGTCCACCCAGAAGGCAAAGTGGGTGAGCTTTCTTCTGGAGAGCCGTGGCAGACCTCGACTCATTTTTTATGATAGCCTGCCAAAACCATATTCAAAAGGATGCACTACGATTCCGCCACCGATACCAGTGTCGTGCATTGTGAGTGTAAATTTTTTGCACAACAATTTGCACATTCACACCGTTCTATAGGCCGACCTCTCACTGGCCGTTGTATGTCTCCTAGCCGTTTGTGTCTGCAATCGTCTGACCTTTTAATCAATATTAAGCTCATCAAATCCGTGTACATTTGCAATACCTGGGCCATTCCATCGCCAATGATCCTATATATTCTGAAGCGAAGATCTGGGTACGTCTACCGTCTCGAGTTCATAACATAAGCCTTGATGCCCTCCGTGATATCTATTCCCTTGTTCCTGAACCGACGTCTGACGAAAGTCTGTATTTAGGGAGAGTGTCTGGGGAAAGGAGGCCTAGACTTGACCCCTAGTGAGGAGCGCGCTGCACCAGCTCCTCCAGATCATGTTAGTCTTGCGGAATCGTCAAATCCTGAATTGCTCTCCCGAACCCCCGCTTTTGCGCAAGCCGTGTCAAGCTCGTCTCCCAACCCATGCGACGATAAACCCGAGGTTGACGGCCCACGCGTGTGCCATACAGTGGAACAAACAGAACAATCTAGCGATCCCCCAAAACTTCTCCCTCGCGAAACGGGCCATGATATTGGGATGGGCTCACCTGTGCCGTTGTCTGCAGACATGGTGGGTGTTATTACACGGCTGCGGAACATGAAGGTATCCTCCGTTTCTTCCAGACACTTGCGGCAATTCTTTCTGAATCCTTTTTATAGGATGAAGATGAGGACTGGAGTCGCTGGCGAGATGTAGTTTTCCGCACTAAAGGTTTGTTGTCACCATACGGTGTTAAGGTACCTCTACCACCGCAAAATAGACGGAAAAGGGGAGGACCAGCCCATTTGTCTCACATAATCCAGGCACAGCCAAAGAGTGGTGAAGCCCACCATGCGAGCGAAGTCCAGGGTCCTCCTCAGCTTACGAAGGAAGAGGTTATGGCAAAGCTCGAGACCTTTCGAATACCACCGCCTCCCCCGGTTTTGGTGGAATCCTCATCTGCGGCGTCCTTGTCGCCCACTCCAGCGGCGATGTCCAGTCCTGGTTCTGAGCCATTTTCCCCACCTCCATCCACCACCACCGATGAATCTCCCTCGTATTGCCCAGAGTGTTACCTTCCTCTACACCCCGATCCCAAACCTGAACGACTGTATATCTTCTTACATGCTCTGCGGTATACAACTAGTTTGGGCTCGTTTGAGACGGAAGTGCCTGAATGGGCTGCAGAAGGGTGGACCTGGGAACGATAGGTTCAGGGGTGGGTAGCAGAATCGAAATAGAAGAGATTGTTGTACCAAATGTGCGTGGTGTCCGTGTTTGCCTTTGTTCCGCCACTAAGACCGTCGCCTATAGCATACAGGCACCCCTTCTATGTATACATTATACTTCATACAAGATATTTTGCGAGCCAAAACAGCGCGAGCTCTACTTCGACATGTCCATGGCGTGAAATTCTTTCATTCCTGGTACGCACGTGCGCCCAACTACAGTAAACAGAGGTAAAATGACTGAATGGGCTTATTGAACTTTGTTATTATCCAAGACATTGGGTTTCTGATAGAGCGCACGGCAGAAATAGTGCTATTCATCGAACCCGACGAGTGACTGACCACCGGCTTGAGAATCCTCGTAAGCATCACGGGATGCACTGACTGAAGCTCCTCCGTCACGTAGGTATTGTGTCCTCGAGCTCACTCATTCTGTGATGTCGAAGAGGACGTCGGCCTACCGATCCGTATCCACTGTGCTCCAGGCTGGTCACGCACTATTGCTCATCTATCGCGGCCTTATCCCTTCGATTTGTGCGCGTTCTAATCTGGTCGATCGCCGCGCCTGTGGATATTGCTAAGTTCTCCCCGCGGCCCGGGCCTGGAACTAACAACCAATGCAAGAGACCGTGAATCCGTCTGTCGTTTGTCGCCGTTTGTCATGCGTGATACTTGACATGATATCAGCTTACAGGGATTCAAACGAATCTATGAGACGAGACCACGGGTGCCATATGACTTTCCTAGAGTGGTTTGGTCCGAGATCTATTCTTGATTGCCTGCTGGCAAAGCTTCGTGATTACACTGGCGCCATCTATGTGCCGGACATTGCTTTCGAAAGCCATGCCGATGTGCCTTCCGGACTAACACTATGATTGCTTTGCGAACTCGTGGAAACCGGCGACTTCGATGAGTGTCAAGGGATACGTCAGGGACATAGAGTTAACAGTACATTTCCCACTTGCGTAGACGCATAAAAGGCCGAGCGTTCTACTCCCTCGCCCCCCTTACCGTTTGCTGTCCGCACTATCCCCCAGGCAACCTAAGTCTTAGTTATTTTGGCTCTCAATATGCGCTCGCTCTCATCTTGGATACCATTCCGCAAAGCAAAAGTATGTGTCGTCACAGAGATTCGTTCACCATTATGCTCACCCGATCATTCTCAAAGAAATCATCTGCCGCGGTTGACAAGCAACATCTGCTGGCACTAATACGAGAAGACTCTTTGCTAGAATTTGTCGTGAAACTGGTCAGTCGTTTGATGCACAACATGAACTTCGTTTAGAGACTGAATTGGGATATAGCCTACGAAGATTCCCTCAGCCCCAGCACCATCCCACTCCCCTTCTAGGAGACGAGATATCGTGAGTAGATCGAATTCTCCGTGGTTGCGATGGTGAACTAGCTAATCCTGGGGTTCTTCGACGCTAGGCTGAGATGTTGGACGACGATAATACCTCCTGGGTCTACCCAAGACAGACCAGGTGATGATGATCAGATGATGTGATACTGTACTGCTGCTATAGTTCAACCTGCACGGACCTCCTCATGACGTTAGTACTTGCATGTGACAACCTGGATACTGCCTCCGATGATACCCTATGAGCAATAAGATTGTACTATTTTATGTATCTTCACCCTGGGAATCGAGTCAAGTCTTCACGCGCCCCAGACGCCTAGAGTGAATAGGACTTCGTATTCGCCGGGCCCATTATGGCATTCAACACCGGTTCAGCCTCAGGATGAAGAGTTTTGCAAGTTTCTTCCCACCACGATGCGTTGCAACAGTCAAATCAGCCAGAAAGGTGGTTGGGAAGACGCACAATAAGCTCGCCTTCGTTCACATGTCGGTCGATTTGAAGGAATTCTCGGGCTATCGAATGATGAAGTAACACCGTTCAGCGATGTGGCCTTCATCGTACAGGGATAAGTCGATGCGTCCATCAATTTACTTCTCAGGAGACTTCGAGAGCTCACCTCATCATCTGTTTCTCCGTCATGTGCCACCATTGTAAGGCTCTCCGTCAGCCTTGACTGGCACGGAAACCGGTCTTTATCGTTGTCTCGGCGTTCGCTCGTACTGCATGCGTGTTGACCGCTCTCCAGTCTTGAGAAGGCGTGATTGACTGTATCCGGATCTGACCCTACATATGACTGAACGGACACGGGATGATCACTGAAAGACTGATACGAACAGTACTCCTACAGTGACTCATGGGCAATAGCTCTCGCCATTGACTTTTGCCGTCTAAGGCCTCAAGGTGCCAGTAGTGATTATGGAGAGCTCCAGACTTGGAGCTGGGGCAGCACTGGGCCACTATCCCTTGGGAAGGTACGCCGGTCATGTAGAGTGGAGTGATTACCGGAGCATTAGCTTCCGGGTCGAGGCAATGGTAGCTGCGCACTGTAATTCAGCGAAGTGGGTCTCAGCCCCAGGTGACGTGCCTGGATGACTGAGCCATGCAGCGGAGAGCCGATCCGGAAGATACAGGGTGCCTTGCAGCGATAGCTTGGGACCTGAGTACTCAGACGAGTGTGCGCAGAGAAGCGAAATCCAGTCGATTTGTATAGAAATTGGGGAACCAGCTCACGGATACTGATCTCAGATCACATTAGGGAGAAGGGGAGGGACTCACACAATCCCCGGACGTATTGGAGCGTCCTGCGGGAATGTTCACAAGACACGAAGAACAACAACTGAATCCAACAAGTCAGGCATCTCATACTTTCTAGCAACGGGTCAGCTGAAAGCACAATAAGAATTCGCGCACTCGACCATGTGCATCGACCGTATCAAGATACCCACGTTATACTGAAGGGCGTAAAGGTCACGCCGTTGAGCGGAAATTGGAATGGCGTGCTAAACAGACGATCACGATGACATTTGAAATCCAGCATGAATACAACAGTGGAGGGCATCCGGACGAAGAAATCAGCAATACACTTATTTTAGATATCAATGCTTACGCGTGAGTATCCATACGCACAAAGAGTTTGGACTGTCTCAAGCGATTGTCGAAAAGACATTCCGAAAGTATGTTTTCAGACCATCCACCCCGCGCACAATTCCACCAATAATGCCGTCAGGTCTAACGATCACAATCGCCGTCTCCTGCGCGGAAATTCCATAAGCCATGGAGGCATGCCCCTCTCCGTCAACAAAACATCTATCCACTTGATCAATGACCAAGGTGTTGGATGCGTCCTTAGGGTACACGATCGCCGAGAGGACTAGCCCCGCAGGGTGGGCCTTCAACGACTGGAGCGCCAGAGTGAGGTTCGCAGGGTCGGGAGTAAAAAGGAGGACGGTGTGGTGAGTCGACCCGAACGTGCGGAAAAGAGAGGTCAACTTGGCGTCGGCGCCCGTGCTCACGGACACTAAACCAGGAGCATCAGGAGCCCTATCTCCCGCTCTAAGTCCGACACCTCCGTCCACCCCATACGCATCTAGCGGCTCGCAGTCTTCCCCAGTCTTTGGGGGATTGCGTTCGTCGACGACAATGGAGCTCCAGCGGTAATTCACACCGAGCTGCTTTAGCTGTGCACCCCGAAACCATCCCGCTGTGGCGCTTTTAGTTTCGCGCAAAGCATTGAGAGTACTATTGTAAAGCTTTGTTGTCTCGCCGAGCATGTGGCGAATCACAGGGATACGCTCCTCAGAGAAGGTAGACAGGAGGGATGAAGTCGCAAGCCCTTTCTCGACGAGGGCAAGTTTCCAGCCTAGATTGAACTGACGTGGAATGGGATTAGTGCTGATCAAGTGGAAGAGGTGTGACATACGGCATCCTGTACACCGGTGTTCATCCCCTGCCCACCAGCTGGGGTATGTACATGGGCAGCATCTAGCCGAAATTCAGTGATCAACACCATTGAGTATTGATATAGTGGATGACTCACCTCCAACGACAAAAACACAGCCTTCGCCGAATTTATTTACCATTCGAACATTCGCTCTGTACAGAATGTTATTATCAGATAATGAGTAGGATGCAAGATATGCACCTGTAATCAGTTTTCCAAACTGTCCTACCGAAGTCTATATCGTCTCTCTGTGTTCCCTCTCGCAGGGCTTGGACTAATGCAGCGTCATCTGACATAATTAGAGCGTGTTTATCGCCTCCTCTGACGGCAAAGGTGAACACTCTGTCCTTTTCTGTGGGTCGAAGCATCACCCTGGAGAAGAGTTATGTGTCGTATGCATTGCACCTATGCAGCCAACTTACAGCGTAGACGGGGCATCTCTCCAAGCATGCCAATACTATGACAACGATGAGCATCTAGATGCACGCTGGCATAATGATAACTTGCCTCTTGAGTGAGATTGTTCACTTCGATTTCACCAAAAATGGTCTGCTGTGGCATGGTTTCACCTAGGAATGTTAAGCCTAGCTGCTTCCTAACAATGCCTGGTCGTAGAACCCCAAATTCAACGCTTTATACGATGAAGCGATAGAGAAAATCAATCACTTTTAGCACCATCAGCCCCGACCAGCCAGTGACATTCTACTGTCTCCTGAACCTCCTCTTGTCCGGCTCTCTTCACAATATGAGCAACTACATGGCCATCATGTTGCTCAAAGGTGCGCAGCTCTGTGCCAAGCTCTACATGACAATCATACTTATCCAAATGGCTGCGCAAGATCTCCTCTGCCGTGGGTTGCGCAAGGAGCCACGTATTCATCTTTGTACACATACCGTTGTTAGTATGTAAGGCTTAGCAGATGAGTAGTATGGTTTACAAACGGCACTGAAGGTGTCGGTTCTTCCGATGGCACCATATAAAACGTCTCGAGAGGCTCGACTCCTCCGGGAAGCTTATAGGTACGCATTTGCATGAGAGGGATTCCTCGCGCATAGATATCAGGCAGTACGCCTAGGAAGTTATAAACCTCAAGGGTCCTAGGCTGCAAACACAGGTGTCAGCACAATGCACGCTGAGCAATATTTCAGAACATTACTTGAATCCCGGCCCCACGTTGGCCGAGGTGATACTGCTGCTCCATCTCAATAATTCGGACTTGGATTCCATTCTGAGCGAGAGTCAAGGCCAACACCAGGCCCGATGGGCCTGCTCCAACCTATTCTCAGGTCAGCGACAGAAGCAACAACGTAACAAGTTTGACTTACAATAAGCACAGGTAGGCGTGAGGTTAAACTCATCTTCGCTTGTGTTGCTGAACCGTATGGATTTGTGAGGGGCAAAGCGCTGCCAGTTATATAAGTTGGTTATACTGTGCGGCATGAGTGTGCCGTTATGAATACGCCACGGCTCGGCCAACTTACCCATTCCATCACACACGTCACTGAAGTTGGCAAGAAGCACAAGTCGGAAAGACTCACAAGCTTACGCATATTGACTAAATGATCATCGTAACACGGCTCAAGATGATTATAGGAGTCACTGTTCCACGGAGGCGACTTACGTCTCAATCATAGAACCAAATATATATAGAGACCAATTCAAGTTCGTCACTCACCGCACAGTGGAGCCAAGTCAAATCTCACCCAGGTTGGAGCTTGTCCAGCCTTTGGTCCGTAACTACACCCCCTGACATTTGGTGGTTGGAAGAGGAGTCGGCTCGGGTGCCACTGCAAATCATGCCGCTGACGGCCGGCAAAGACGACACGCGTAATCGTAAATTGTCATGGTGCCGAAAAATGATTCCAGTAATTTCCGGTGCTGGTTTACAACATCGTGCAGTGAGGATTCAAATGTAAGTTTGAAAGAGGCCCGAGGCCTGAAGCATGAATACAGTCTAATAGTGCAATATGCAATATAAATGACATTCTAAATAGGCAATTGTGACAACATGTGGATGCCACACGAATATTAGAATTGAAGGCATTGAAAAAAGGACTGGTATTTAGATGTTCAAGTATCGATATCGACAACAGAATGACATTACAAAGTATCGAGAGTCGCCGAAAAGATACCACGGAAATACTTCTTCACACCATCCGCCCCACGCACAATTCCACCAACAATTCCGTCAGGCCTAACGATCACGATCATCGTCTCCAGCGCAGAAATATCATAAGCTACTGAAGCATGCCCCTCCCCGTCAACGAAGCACTTGTTCACACCATCGATACCCAAGGTGTTGGATGTGCCCTTGGGGTACACGATCGCCGAGAGGATCAGTTCCGTAGGGTACACCTTCAGTGACTCCAGCGCAAGCGCAACGTTCGAGGGATCGGGAGTAAAGAAGAGGACAGTGTGGTAGGTCGACCCGAACGTCTGGAAAAGAGAGGTCGCCTCAACGTCAGCGTCCGCATTCACGGGCACCAAACCAGGAGCATCGGGGGCCCTGTCCCCCGCTCTAAGCCCGACACTGCCATCTACACCGTATGCATCCAGTGGCTCGCAATCTTGTCCATTCTTGAGAGGGTTTCGCTCGTCTACGACGATGGAGCTCCAGCGGTAGTTGATGCCGAGTTGCTTCAACTTACCCCCCCGCGTCCATGCGCTCTCTGTTCCCTTACCTTGGTGGGTTGCCGCCATTGTGCTGTGGTACAGTTTTGTCGTCTCGCCGAGCATGTGGCGGATCACAGGGATGCGCTCCTCTGTGTATGTAGACAGGAGAGATGCAGGAGCCAGCCCTTTCTCGACGAGCGCGAGCTTCCAGCCAAGATTGAACTTGGAACAGAAAATCAGAAGCGGTCACAAACCACAATTGGTATGACATACTGCATCTTGCACGCTGCTGTTCATTCCCTGTCCTCCAGTCGGACTGTGAACATGGGCGGCATCTGTTCAGGTGGGTCAGTGTACATCAAAGTCAAAGTCAAGAAGCACGTACCTCCTGCGAGGAAAACGCGTCCTTCACCAAACTTGTCTACCATACGGATGTTGGCTCTAGGATATTAGGAGTTGGGGATACAAGACACCATGGAAGCAGTGTGCGCATACCTCCAATCCGATTTCCATATAACCTTCCCGAACTCGATATCATTCCTTTGCGACCCATCCCGTATGCATTGAATCAGTGCACCGTAATCAGCGAAGATTCGCTCATAGTCCACGCTTCCTCCAACTGCAAAACTGAACAGGCCTTCTGTCTCGACAGGACGGAGGACCACACTTTCAACAATCGTCATTCATGTCGAAATGACAGGTATGAAGGGCCAACTCACAAGATTGTGGATGCATCTCCCCAAACATGCCAGACCTGACATCCCCTGTGTAAGCCGAAAGACGCGATGTTAGAATTCAATTACTCACATCTTGACTAAGACCCTTCAGTTCAATCTCGCCGAAGACGATCTGCTGCGAGAGGGTCTCGCCCTGAAATGTAAAACCCAGCTGCCTCCTGACGATACCTGCGGTGTGGCAGAAGTCTTAATCACTGCGAAATTCACCTGGAAGAGCAAAATGTATTACCCTTGGCACCGTCGGCTCCTACGAGCCAATTGCAGGCCACAGTTTCCTCTATTTCCTCTTGTCCATTTCTCTTTACAATATGAGCAGTAACGTGGCCGTCGTGCTGCTCAAAGCTCTTCAGCTCGGTACTGAGCTCAACCTCGCATCCGTATTTCTTGAGATGGTTACGGAGGATCTCTTCAGCAAGGAATTGCCCAAGCATCCAAGGATTGATCTTAAAGGACATGAATGCGACAATCTACTGTCAAGACGTCAAGAAAGTATGGAGAACACAACTTACATGTGGTACAGAGGGAGTGGGTTCCTCCGGTGGGGTCATGTAGAAAGTTTTAAGAGGCTCAACTCCTCCGGGAAGCTTATAAAAGCACATCGGCTTCATTGGAATCCCTCGTGCATAGACATCCGGCAAGATGCCGAGGAGGTTATAGACCTCGAGAGTTCTAGGCTAGAAGGAAGGATGTCAATCAGTAGAACGTCTTGCACCAAATCCAAGGGTGTAGATTACCTGAATTCCAGCCCCACGCTGCCCGAGGTGAAATTCTGAGTCTTTCTCGATCACTCGCAATTTGATTCCATTTCTTGCAAGAGTCAGAGCCAGTGCAAGGCCGCATGGACCCGACCCAGCCTATTTCGCAAAGGTCAGAAGCGGCCAGATGGTACACTGAATATGAGACTTACGATGAGAACGGGTAGAGACGGTGTAGATGTCATGTTTCTTCACTCGTGTCAATATCTATGAGTTGTATGGGAAAGGCCGCATCGTAAGAGCTCCAGCTTATAAGGTCCGGCTGTAGCTAAGGGGCGGCGATGAACACGCCAGTGTTCGGCGAACTGCAGGCGTGAATTGACAGTCCAGGTACTGTGATCTATCATGCATGCGCAGAAGCAGCCAGCCGTGCAGCGGCCGACCGGACGCGCAGACAGATCGGATTCTTATGATGACTCTGCCGGCACGATGTTGCTGGTGTCGAACACGCTGGCCGCGCAAACCCGGGCTATTGCAAACCCATGGTCAGCCCGCTTGCTGTGCATTGTATGCAGCGCTGATAAGAGTCATAGAGTCCCAATTATCGCAGCCTAGGATCATTGAGCGGAAGGGTAGACTCACCGGAGCGTCGAAGAAGAATAGAGATCACCGGAGCTTCGGAGAGGCGAGCTTGAAGCGGATATTGCTACTGTGCCGCAGCGACATAACGACACAAGTGAGTTCCAAGAAGCAAGATGACTTGCTCCCACTGGGGGCAATGATCAGCAATGTCCACTAGGATATTCACAGGGTATTGCAAGAAATGAAATCCTTTCTTGACGTAGTGAATGCTCCGATTATTGTAAGAAAATTTCAAGTATTATGCAGGTTTCCTTAGCATATCCTGAGGAATTCACAGAATATTATAGAATGTTGTCAAATATTGGAAGAATTTTGTAAATACCCTGTGTATATTCATAGTCAGAGTGATCTCAAAACAGAATTTCTTTTTCGTAGACTTACGTTACAACATCATGTGGCAGAATCGTGATCCCAGTGTCCGGAGTCCGTAACTTTGTACTGTTTCGGACGAAAAAGGCAATCACACATGTCTGATGTCCCACAACAATCATCATTTTCGGCGGCGGTCTAACTATAGCTGTCGGTCATCTTATCTCACCCTTTGTGGCTGACTCTCGAACACCCCTCATTCTCACGTCGCAACTATAGCATTTACTAATGTGCACTCTGAAAGACAACCGTATCCTCCACCAACCAGTCATTCATGTGGGTGGTGAGCGATGAAGATATATGAGGAGATAGGAAATGTTACATGAATCTATGAGTGGGGAGTATTCAATGCGAAGAAAGACATGAACAAGCATTAAGTACGGACATGTAAGATATTGACGCTGATAACCAAGTGCTTCTAAAAAGCGCTGAGACGCTAGCTGCCTCAAGCAATGGTCGAGAATATACCCCGGAAGTATTGCTTCAGACCACCCGCCCCACGCACAATTCCACCAACAATGCCGTCAGGCCTAACGATCACGATCATCGTCTCCAGTGCCGATATACCATAAGCCGCCGAGGCATGGGCCTGCCCGTCGACAAAGCATTTATCCGCATGTCCGATGACCAAGGTGTTAGATGTGCCCTTGGGGTACACGATCGCCGACAGTATCAATTCCGCAGGGTAGGCCTTCAGTGACTCCAGCGCAAGCGTAACGTTCGAGGGATCGGGAGTAAAGAAGAGGACGGTGTGGTAGGTCGACCCGAACGTGCGGAAAAGAGAGGTCAACTTGGCGTCGGCGCCTGCATTCACGGGCACCAAACCAGGAGCATCGGGAGCTCTATCTCCAGCTCTAAGCCCGGTGCTTCCATCTACACCATAAGCATCCAGCGGCTCGCAGTCTTCTCCAGTCTTGTGAGGGTTGCGCTCGTCAACGACGATGGAGCTCCAACGATAATTGATGCCAAGTTGCTTAAACTGAGGCCCCCGCGACCATGCAACCTCCGCTCCCTTACCTTCGCGGGTTGCCGCCATTGTGCTGTGGTACAGTTTTGTCGTCTCGCCGAGCATGTGGCGGATCACAGGGATGCGCTCCTCTGTGTACGTAGACAGGAGAGATGCAGGAGCCAGTCCTTTCTCGACGAGCGCGAGCTTCCAGCCGAGATTGAACTAGGCATCGAAGGTTAGAAACAGCTGCAAACTATAGTTGGTTTGACATACTGCATCTTGCACACTGCTGTTCATTCCTTGTCCTCCAGCCGGACTGTGGACATGTGCAGCGTCTGCTCAAGCAAGTCAGTGCATGGCGGAACCACGAAAATAGAACACGCACCTCCTGCGAGAAATACGCGCCCTTCGCCGAACTGGTCTACCATGCGAACGTTGGCCCTAGGATGCTATGAGTACCAAGGAAAAGGGGTCCAGGTCAAGCAGAAACGACGCGTCCGCACCTCCAATCCGATTTCCATATGATCTTCCCAAACTCGATATCATTCCGGCCCGTCCCGTCTCGTATGCACTGAATCAGCGCATCATAATCATTAAAGATTCGCTCGAAATCTACGCTCCCTCCAATTCCGAAGCTGAACCATCCTTCTGTCTCGACAGGACGTAGCATCACACTTCGAAAGTCTGGTCATCGCCTGAAATGTCGAGTATGAAAGCTCGACGACCTACAAGTTTGTGGACATGTCTCCCCATATATGCCAAACCTACCATCCCGTTGTAAGCCATGATACGCAATACTAAAGTTGCTACTCACATCCTGGCTGAGACCCTTCAACTCGATCTCGCCAAACACAAGCTGCTGTGAAAGGGTTTCACCCCGGAATGTGTAGCCCAAGTGCTTCCTGACGATACCTGTGATATTGGAATTCTCACATCACTATGCAGAACGCCTGGAAGAACAAGAGTCATCACCTTTAGCACCGTCAGCTCCCACGAGCCAATTGCATGTCACGGTTTCCTCTATCTCCTCTTGTCCATTTCTCTTCACAATGTGAGCAGTAACGTGGTCATCGTGCTGCTCAAAGCTCTTCAGCTCGGTACTGAGCTCAACCTCACATCCGTATTTCTTTAGATGGTTACGGAGGATCTCTTCAGCAAGGAATTGCCCAAGCACCCACACATTGATCTTGAAGAATATGAATGCGACGAGTATCAATCAACGCATCAAGAAAGCATAAATGAGGTAGCTCACGTATGGTACGGAGAGAGTGGGCTCCTCTGGTGGAACCATGTAGAACGCCTTTAGAGGCTCAACCCCTCCCGGGAGCTTGTAGAAGCACATCTGCGTTAGTGGCAGACCTCTTGCATAAACATCAGGCAGGACGCCTAGGAGATTGTATACTTCGAGAGTCCTAGGCTAGGAAGAGTGCTGATGTCAGTGGTACATCTTGAAGTGTAGTCGACCAATGAAAATTACCTGGATTCCAGCCCCACGCTGCCCAAGGTGAAATTGTGAGTCCTTCTCGATCACTCGCACTTTGACCCCATTTTTTGCGAGAGTCAAAGCCAGTGCGAGGCCGCATGGGCCTGACCCAGCCTATTCCACAGAGGTCAGAAATAGTGAAATGATACAATGGATACGAGACCTACGATAAGAACAGGTAGAGACGATGTGGATGTCATCTTCCTCACTTGCGTGGGTACCTATAAGTTGCATGGTGGAGGGTAATTCTCAAGCTTATAAGGTGTCCGTGTCCGGCCATGGCCAAGAGTGACCATGAAAACCCCAGAGTGCGGCCCCGCACGGTGACAGCCCAGTCACCACTAACCTGCCGACCAGACGCGTATGTCGAGATTCGGATAAAGTAGAGACGTCTGAATATACATATACTTTGCCGGCACAGCTGGTGTTCTTTTGAAACGACGATTCCCACTGCGCAAGCGCGCAAATCCGAATCATTGCAAAATCAGGCCGCCGAAATTGCACTCTGGGAATAACACTGGAGCTCGATACGTGCACTCACAGTATATGTTGAGCTTGACAGTGTCTCATCGCGGCTCAGGGTCCCTAACCGTGAGAGTAGCCTCGACTATGGTGGCCGTCTCCAGGCCACAGAGCGTGAGACGAGTCATTCGATCAATCAGCTCGAGCGCAGCGACGGAGCGCGTGAGTGTCAAGAAGGAACTTCGATGTTGCTCAGCCATGCACGATGCTGATTCTTGGAGATGAGAGAGACAGATCCGCAACCGCCGACAATTTGTCTTGCAATAGATTATCGTAATCGATGCGAGTTTCGGCTATCTTATCCTGTGGCCAACATTCGAACATCCGAGTCCTCAAACTCAGACCCATGCACTGGCATGTACAGCACCAAATACTTGTATCCGCGCTCCGTTATGGGGTTTCAAGGTGTTCATTGTGGCATGTCAACTGTCTGGGGTTAAGTACAATGATGGGCACCTTCAACCGCCACTCTTTCAGTTGGGGCGTCGGCCTTGGTGCCCCGCAGCCATATGAACATTGTCCACTGACACCTCAATAATAAATGGCAGTACAGTAAATATGGGCCAGCCTCAAGCCTCAAGCCTCAAGCCCGGGTAAGAGAATGCTGACCATGCAAGATGGATGACTACATGCTGGGTGCTTAGCGCACAATGTTGACATGCTCAACACGACAATACTGATGACATTGAATTGGGCTCTGCATTGTCAGTTTCAAAGCGGGGAAGACAGATGAGGCAACCAGAGGTCCGACTCCTCAGGCCTCAGCTTCAGGCCTCAGACTGCCCCCCAACGCTAGATGTGCACACATGAACAAATCTGATCAGAAGCACTCACATTACTCTATATCAAAGTTATGCTCGAACACGGTCACAGGGCGACCGTCAGTGCCACGCATAACGAAAGGAGTATACCTCAAGACATACTTAACCATGACAGCACGACCATACCAGATGCACCGCCGCTCCGTTGCATTGAAGTTTGAACAGCACCCGTTCGAAGTTGCTCCATTTTTTTTGCTCTCTTGTGCAGTTTGAGGTCTAGTCTACAGCCACGCCCTGGCCATGGCCCCGATGCCCACCTCGCGACACTTAGTTTGTCGTCTATGACTCAACGGGCTGGGCGACGCGCCACTTGAAGCCTCCGATACGGGGAATTGACACACAGTCTGCCCCTGGACCAGTACAAAATGGGTCAGTATAGTCCAAAATCGATAAATCGATGCGCGATGAATGCAGACGCACCCGCTGCAGAAGTCCTCCATGAAGGTCCACTTCTGCACGATAGGGAAGAGCGAGTGCATGTAGATCCAGTAGAAGCTGAGCAGAAATAGCATGAAGCTTTCCAGGCCCTTCACCTGATTCAACGCTAATGGAGACAGGGTGCCCACATGCGTGCTTTCGCGAAGCAAACTGTCAATGGTGGTCAGTTGAATGGAGGCCAGCAGCAACACAGTGATAATCCGAGGTGCTCACCATATGCCTCAGCATGTTCAGCGCCCATCTTCACGGTTCTTCACGCTAAGGAGGTGGAGGTCGCTCACCTTGCAGTGGAAGCACACCTGCTCGTCCTTGGTTAGGCTCATCTGGTCCATCTCGTTCGCTGACATCTTCGCTACCGACGATTTTCGGATCATCACGTTGCACAAAGCCCTTGCCGTCGTGTATTTTCAGCAAGCGCGCCGATGCATCCACAAGAGATGCGACGGAGCCCCGCTGTCGGAGGAACGCCCCCGAGACGCATCGCGCCGAGAGCGGATTCGCCACCGCAGGGGGATGTGGGATCCAAAGGGGTCGCTGAGGAGCATTGTCCATGCTCATCCTTGTCCAAACGTCGACGTTGGGGCCAGAAAGGCAGCTCACTGATCGGGTGTTCCGAGGCAGTGCTAAGGATGACCGATGGGGTATGTGAGTGCTCGAGGTGCTTGGCTATGTGGTGAAGTGCAGCGATATCTGTGGCTTGAGATGATCCATCTAAGATGAGATGGTCGACCAGCGTAGCGACGGAGACTTTCCGGTGTTGATGGTGGTGAGAAATTCATGATCACAGGGCGAAAGTCGAGTCGCAACACGGAGAGAAAATTGCTATCTTCTGCTACTCTGGTACGTGGCTGAACTATTTTGAAAACGAAGATGTACTCACGATGTACTGCACACTTTCGTAGAGTTCCGTCGTCTCGTCGAATTCGGGGGCAGAGTGTTTGGCTGCCTCGCGCTCGCAATGCATTGCTGAGAATTCGATTGCGGAAGACGAGGCTTGAAGTTCGGCCGCGTTTCAATAGAGTTTAGAGGGGATGATCGCGGTGAAATTTAAGTCGCTACACACGAGTCTAAGAGTGGAGGGTGTTGCGAAGGAAGAGATCAGTAAGTAGTACAGAGTTCAAGATTTTAATGCTGGCAACTAAGTGCCCCTACAAAGCGTCGAGACGATGGCTGCCTCAATCGATCGTTGAGAAAATACCTCGGAAGTATTTGTTCACACCATCCGCCCCACGCACAATTCCGCCAATAACACCGTCAGGTCTAACAATAACAATCATTGTCTCCAGCGCCGATATACCATAAGCTGTTGAGGCATGGGCCCGCCCGTCAACAAAGCATTTATCCACACCATCCACGTCCAAGGTGTTGCATGTGCCCTTGGGATACACGATCGCCGAGAGGATCAATTCCGCAGGGTAGGCCTTCAGTGACTCCAGCGCAAGCACAATGTTCAAGGGATCAGGAGTAAAGAAGAGGATGGTGTGGTAAGTCGATCCGAACGTGCGGAAAAGAGAGGTCAACTTGGCGTCGGCGCCTGCATTCACGGGCACCAGACTAGGAGCATCGGGAGCTCTATCTCCGGCTCTGAGCCCGGTGCCTCCGTCCACACCATAAGCATCCAGCGGCTCGCAGTCTTCTCCAGTCTTGTGAGGATTGCGTTCATCCACAATGATGGAGCTCCAACGGTAATTCACACCGAGCTGCTTCAATTGAGACCCCCGCGTCCATGCATCTTCCGCTCCCTTAGCCTCGTGAGTTGCTGACATTGTATTGTGGTACAATTTTGTCGTCTCGCCGAGCATGTGACGAATCACAGGGACGCGTTCCTCTGTATATGTGGAGAGGAGAGACGCAGAAGCAAGCCCCTTCTCGACGAGGGCAAGCTTCCAGCCGAGGTTGAACTGAGAGCCGAAGGTCAGAAGAAGCTGCAAACTACAGCAAGTATGACATACTGCATCTTGCACGCTGCTGTTCATTCCCTGTCCTCCAGTGAAACTGTGGATATGGGCAGCATCTGTTCAGGTGAGTCAGGGCGCAACAGAGTTGAGGGAGTCAAGCACATACCTCCTGCGAGGAAAACACGTCCTTCACCAAACTTGTCTACCATGCGGACGTTGGCCCTAGGATATCATGAGATTGAGCGGAAGACTGTGAGGAATAGCGTGAGCGGACCTCCAATCCGATTTCCATACTATCTTCCCAAACTCGATGTCGTTCCTATGCGTCCCGTCCCGCATGCATTGAATGAGTGCATCGTAATCGGTGAAGATTCGCTCATAGTCCACATTTCCTCCTATTATGAAGCTGGATAGATCTTTCGTCTCGACACAACGCAGCATCACACTTCGAAAATCTGGTCATTGACTGGAATTTCTAGTATGAAAGCTTGACCTACAAGATTGTGGACATGTCTCCCCAAAAGTGGTAGACCTACCATCCCCTTGTAAGCCCTGAGACGTGATGCTAGAATTCAGCCACTCACATCTGGGCTGAGGCCCTTCATCTCGATCTCACCGAACACAAGCTGCCGCGACAGTGTTTCACCCTGAAATGTGTAACCCAATTGCTTCCTGACAATACCTGTGGCAGGTCCTCTCATCACGCGCAGGTCGTATGGAAACGCGAAAATCATCACCTTTGGCCCCATCAGCTCCTACGAGCCAATGACATGTTACAGTCTCCTGTATCTCTTCTTGTCCTGTTCTCTTCACGATATGAGCAGTGACGTGATCGTCGTGCTGTTCAAAGCTCATCAGCTCAGTGCTGAGCTCAACTTCACATCCGTATCTCTTCAAATGGGTGCGTAGGATCTCCTCGGCCAGAAACTGCCCGAGCCCCCACAGATTGATCTTCAAATATGAACGCAACGATCGATCGTCAGCCCACAAAAACGCAAGGGTACACTAGCTTACGAATGGTACGGAAGGAGTAGGTTCCTCTGGCGGATACATGTAGAACTTCTTGAGAGGCTCAACGCCTCCAGGGAGCTTATAAAAGCACATCTTCCTCCCAGACAACCCTCGAGCATAGACGTCGGGTAACACGCCTAGGAGATTGTAGACCTCGAGAGTCCTAGGCTAGGAAGAGTGTCGACGTCAGTGGTGCGTCTTGAAGTAGAATCTACCAGTGAAAACTACCTGAATCCCAGCCCCACGCTGCCCAAGGTGGAATTCTGAGTCCTTCTCAATAACTCGCACTTTGACTCCATTCTTTGCGAGAGTCAGTGCCAGTGCGAGGCCGCATGGGCCTGACCCGGCCTGTTCCGCAGATGTTAAAACGGTAGAAGGATATACTGTAAACGAGACCTACGATTAAAACCGGTGAAGACGATGTAGACGTCATTTTTGTGTGTAGATACCTATGAGTTGCGTGGTGGAGGGCAGTTCTCATACTCCCCCGCTTATAAGATGTTCTAATTGGGCATGGCAAGGGCGGCCATAAATATGCCAGGGTTCAGCGCGCGGTGACAGTCCAGTTACTAGGATCATATCAAGGAGAAGCATACGAGTTTGCAGCAGCCGACCAGACGCGTATACGGCTCGGATGTGAACGACGCCTGTTGGAACTCTGCCGGCACTACGCAGCTGGTGTTCTTCAAACACGCTGATTGTCATTGCGCGGATGCAAAAAACCAGCCCGCTGAACCTACGCTTTGTGCATAACACTGGAGCTCAATACTTGCATTCACAATATACGTTGAGCTTCACAGAGTCTCATCGCAGCCCAGGATCCCTGAGCAGTGAGCGTAAGGGTAGATTTGACCATGGCCATCTCCAGGCTCCAGGCCACGGGACGCGCGAGACGAGACGTCCGATCAATCGCTTCGGAGAGGTAGGTGGAGCAGACCTAGTCCAGACTATTTTGCGACAAAACGACCCGCGTTAGTGTCGAGGAGGAGACTCAGTCATGGACGATGCTGACTCTTTCAACTCAAATTCTGGCATCACCGACGCCGGCCCAATAGATTATCGTAATCGACATCAGTTTCGGCCATCTTATCTCGTCATTTGCGGCCGACTTTCGGATATATCCGGCGCCGAAGACTTCCGAAGAGTGTGTACTAGTAGAGCACGTCCGACACCTCTATGACTATACATATCCGGGCTGTATCATTCAGACTGATTGGCCAGTATAATCATGAACGAGTCCATCACATAGCCATTATAAATACATGTGTGTATCGGACCATTCTAGCACACTCCTAGGCTCAAGCTATTGCTGAGAAGACTCCTCGGAAATACGTCTTCAAACCCTCCACCCCGCGCACAACGCAACCAACGACCCCGTCAGGCCTGACGACGACGATTATCGTTTCATCCGCGGAGACCCCGTATCCTGCAAATGCATGCCCGTCTCGATCCATAAAATTTTGCTCCGCACCGTCGACCGCTGTGGCGTCCTTAGGATAGATGACCATTGTACAAATCACCTCCTCAGGATATCCCTTCAGCGCATCGAGGGCCGGCGCGACTTTTGTAGGCTCCGCAGAGAAGAGGAGCACGGTATGATGAGAAGGCTTGAACACGCGAAATAGGGAAGTGGTCTCCGCGTTAGTGCTCGCACTCGCGCCCACCAGTCCGGGAGCATCGGGGGCCCTATCTCCCGCCCTGAGAATCCCATCCCCGCTATAAGCGTCCAGGGGTTCACGCTCCTCTTCAGACGTAGATGAGTGGCGCTCATCCACGACGATGGAGCTCCAGCGGCAGTTTATTCCGAGCTGCTTCAAGTGTACGCGCGATTTCCAGCCCATGTTCGGACTGTCGTTCTCGCGAGCAGGATTCAGAGTTCTGTTGTAGATCCTCGTGGTCTCCCCGAGCATGTGGCGGATCACGGGGATACGTTCCTCAGAATAGGTGGCCAAGAGTGACGGAGCGGCAAGCCCCTTCTCGACGAGTGCGATTTTCCAGCCTAGATTAAACTGAGATAGAGTCTGTTTAGCGTGGCTCAAACGAAGACGGTGCGACGTACAGAATCTTGCACCCCAGAGTTCAATCCCTGCCCGCCAGCCGGACTGTGCACATGGGCAGCGTCTGGCAAGACATGGTCAGCAGACTCATTCTCTGTGTCCGCGCCAACAGCTCACCTCCTACGACGAAAACACGTCCCTCTCCAAATTTGTTCACCATTCGAACATTGGCTCTATCAATCAAAATTAGTTTAAATACGTTTTGATACGGTGCAATGCGATGCACGTACACGTAGTGAGACTTCCACGTTATCTTACCAAACTCTATGTCGCTTCGTTGTGTTGCTTCACGTAGAGCTTTGGCCAACGCATCATCGTCAGACAGGATTTGTGAGCGATCATGGCTTCCTCCCAGTGAGAAAGCAAATGTGCCCTCCAGTTCAGTAGGTCTAAGCATCATTCTGTATAGCCACAGTAAAGCTTTGCTAGCATCGCAGCAATTCAGGTAGCTTACATCGTGGAGGGGGCATCTCGCCAAAAATGCCAATACTATCACAACAATGAGCGTGCGGATGTAAACATGCGCGATATAATGGCTTGCCTCTGCGGTGAGGTTCTTCACCTCGATCAGGCCAACCAATGTCTTCTGCGGTATTGTTTCGCCCAGAAACGTTGCGCCCATCTGTTTCCGGACTATACCTAAATCGTGCAGTCCCAATGTCAGCGTCCCATGCGACCTGAATAGAATGAGATATCCAACCACTTTTTGCACCATCGGCTCCGACGAGCCAGCGGCATTCGACCGTCTCTTCGACCTCCTTCTGCCCTGCTCTCTTCACGATACGAGCGGTTACGTGGTCATCATGCTGCTCCAGGGTGCGCAATTCGGTGCCGAGCTCCACGTGGCAACCATACTTATCCAGATGAGTGCGCATGATCTCCTCCGCCGCGGGCTGCCCGAGCAGGAATGGATTGATCTTTACAGACGTATCGTGGGGTCAACACGCAAGGCGCTCCACACGAGCAACACCACTCACAAACGGGGCTGACGGCGTCGGCTCCTCTATCGGCACTATATCGAATGTCTCGAGGGGCTCGACTCCCCCGGGGAGCCTGTACGCGCGCATCGGCATGAGCGGGATTCCGCGCGCATAGATATCGGGCAAAATGCCCAGGAAGTTGTACGCCTCGAGTGTCCTGGGCTGCAAACATCGCTATAAGCACACAGAGTCCGAGTAGTAGTCGAGATGCGCGATCACCTGGATCCCAGCCCCGCGTTGGCCGACATGGTGGTTCTCGTCCATCTCGATGACCCGGACTTTAATTGCATTCTGCGCGAGAGTCAGGGCCAGCGTGAGGCCCGACGTGCCTGCTCCTACCTGGTCTAGGGTCAGTAACATCAGCCATAGCGTGGGGGGTTCGGCTTACAATGAGCACGGGAAGAGGGGGAGTAGATGTCATTCTCGCTTCGGCAGTGGTGAACGGGTTCAAGGGAGGGAGACACTGGTGACCAAGAAGTTGTTAGCTTTTAAACATACTCTGCCGTGAGCGCATCACGGCTCGGCCAACTGCATGGCACATTTGCATCACGGACATGCCACTGGAGTCAGGATGAAGACAGTCGAAAAGCGCCAAAGTAACGAGTCACTGTCCGGAGATCTGGCCGATCAGATCATCGGGTCGCCTCAAATGGCAAACCGCCTGTCTAATATGGAAGACGGCCCCGCATCGCTAGTCTGAATGTGGGCAAGACGCACAAGTTTACCCACAACTACCACAGCGTCCATCATGATATTGATAGCGCAGCTCGACCCTCTCCGCCTCAGGACGGCACAGTTATGTATATCAATACGTACGTGTATATGTATACATACCGTCCACTGGGAACGCTGGTAATATACATACGGGCTACAGCTACACAACAGAGTACACAGTGAACGTGCCAGACGGTCCGTACAAGAAAGCAGGGAGTAAGCGTTCGAAGGGTAAACGCAATGCGGCCAATGTGCGGCAATAATACGACGGAACATGGGGATAAAGCAGACAAACTCAGAACCATAAATCAGGCACGAAAACTCTTCAGAATCCGGTGTACTGGTGGCGCAATCGCGACCAGAATGCGGACGCTCGCGTGGTATGGCCATAGCACTATACTCTGTGCCAACTCGAAAGCCCACTCGTGAAATGAAGGCATTCTGCGCATACGGCCCATTGAGCTTCTTGTGCTTCCGCTGCCCCCACTCCTGCTCCTGCTCCTGCTCCGGACCCTCTTTACGAGCCTTTCTTTGGGATTTATGGCAGGTGACAGCGGCTCTCCCTTCTCCTTCTCCGAGACATATGTGCCGTCGGAATCCGCTTCCACGTCAGCTTCTACATCAGAGCGCACTTCTTGAATGGTCGGCAGATGCGGAGACCCCGAATGTTGTCCGCTTGGTGTACGAACCAACGAGACATTCCCGTTAACACTGGCATTTTTGAGGATGCCATTCCGGACGACACCAGCATCACTGCCATTGCCGCCATACTTGTCGGGTCTTTTCGCATCCACGTCCAGTGAGCCGAGCGTCCAAATCACCATGGGGAGGCGTAACAGGCCAGTCGCAAACGGCGCGACATAGCTTCTCAGTCGTTTGTACACAACGAGGTAGACCGGTGGGCTGTATGCGTGCGCCGTCTTGAGAGCATCCATATCAAGTCTCCGATTCTGGTCTAGCTGCACAAGTCCTTTCTCCAGAGCGGCAAGCCTACTCGTGAATGCAACTCGAGCCGAATCTGCCTTGCGCTCGTTGCGTTTTGTGCCTCTCTCAAGATTGCCAAGAGCTTCGCTCAGGTCGTCACAGACGACCTGCAGACGTGCCCCATGTGCTGCACGTTCGCGAAGCTCTTTCATCTCTTCCTCGAGAGCAAGCAAGCGCTTGGTCACTTTGGCAAGCTCCTCGTCTGTGCGCTTCGCCTCTGCAGTAGGAGGATAATGTATCGCATCATGAAGTGTAGTGGTGCGAGCTCGGACGCGAGAGATAAGGTGCGACCATGGTCTGATGCCAGTTGCGAGCACAAAGAGAGTTGTGCTGAACCAGGAGAGCGATTCTGCGCCGCCTAGAGTATCCAACATGTACTGAAGGAAGAGAGCGCCTATCAATGGTGACACAATGGTCAGCAGAAGTAAAAATAGCTCTTGCTGCCGGAGCTCGGTGGCTGCCAGCGCCACAGCGCGATTCGCGGGTAGACTTGAATGAGGAATGACCGGCTTACGGGGTCTGGAGGCTTGATACAGGCCCCAAGGAACTATGAATAATCGTCAGATATGTCGCAAGAAGACAGATCAATACGACCAACGGCAATAAATGTCGCAGAAAAATCAGACTGGAAAGCGTCTACACAACAGTACGTTCTCCCACGGCTGATGCACTCCCTGGCTGGAGGCGTAAGTCTATAGCGAACGACATGGCATGGCATCCCTTTCCAGTGTGAGACTAGTCGAAAGAGAAGTCCAAGTCAGGAGAAACTCTGTTGAAAATAGAGCGCATGGTGAACGCCGTCGTTGCATAAGAAACAAGAATGTTTGGAACGGCCCGATAAGAAGATTCTTATGCAGCAGGGGAAGAGATAGCAAAAATGGCGATAGATTTACGAGCATATACCCACACCACTGGACATGTGACTCTATGACTTTGAGGCTCGAGACGTTTGCCCGGCGCCCAGTGGCATACGATGAGATGGTAAAAAGCAAAGTGCACACACCTTCGACGAGCTGATGCAGATAAAAGATTAAGAGAATAACGAGAAAGAGATTCTTGACATGGTCTCCTCCCGTAAGCCAGTTGCCAATAGGAGACACGCACGCGACAATAATAGATAGGTCGAGGTCTGTCCACGGCTTGGATCCGTCGCGAATGCGCGTGTCGCTCGACGATGTACGTGCATGGGGACGCGGGACGGTTTTTCCCTTGAAATCTTTCTCGTTCAGAGCCTGATCCTTCATCGCTGATTCATAATCGCTCTCTGAGCCGTCGCTAGGGGTGTACTCGTCTTCAAAGTCACTTTCGATATCAGCGTTTGTATCTGGTGTTGAAGGGCTCGTGTCGATGAACTGGCGCTGAGGGGACGAGCGAGAAGGTCCTGCGGATACAGGGGCAGAGGCCATTGCGGATGATGCCTAGCGAAGACAGTGTGGCAGCATATAAGGAGAGAACAACGTGTAGCCGGTGCGGTTGCGCTGAGTTCGAGCAGACGACCAATTCGGATCTCGCCCCTGCGCCGTGTGTTTTTGATTCAAAACCGAGACGCGACGTTCTGCAAAGACAGTCGTGGAGGGCGGAAGCAAGAGCGGTAGACAGGCATTCCGAGTTGACATCGCCGCGTCGCGTCGAGTGACAACGACATGGATCCAATGACGCGCGTGTCCACCAATCACGTGCAGGCGGAACTTCTTTGAACAGACGCCCGTTCTCGATTGGGGAAGCTGCGACCTGAACCAGCATTTAGTCTTTCCTCTATGTACCTACTCCTCAGGTTTTGCGCCCCGTTATGCAGCGTCAACGCAGCTTTGTCCAAGTTTTGAGACTCTCAAAGTTATCCAGACAAACATCTCTCGTTGAACAGGTTCTAGCAGTGATTGAGGATTCTGCCGAATTTATGATTTCACAGCATTTTAGCTCGCTGGGCTCTCGCAGGTGCGTACAATCCATCTCTAACTTTATGCTAGCTACTTACGACCAACTCAGATCAGCTCACATATTCGCGCATGTACGTTGAGGACGCCGCAATGTCCTTGCGGGCATCATCTCGGCCGCGTTCACCCATAAACGCTCAGTACCATGCTCCTTGTGTTCTGTAAGCCCTTGAGCTAACGATAGCCGGGCAAAACAACACATCTTCCCGCTCCTGCGTCGGGCTACGTGGGACTGGTCCTACGCGAAAAAGGGCTAGTCTTATGGATTCATTCGGACATTGTCTTCCCTGACCAGAGTGCCATACGGCCCACAAGCCGCGAGCACCCTCTTTTGGAGCACGCACAAACTAACGACTCGATATAGGAATGGGCGGCAGTTTGTCAAGCGTATATCTCCGTCAGGCGCTACCGTGTGTTCGGCTTGCATGTTTAGCTGACGCCCGTTATGGCCAATCACAGAGCTTGACAGCGCGAGAAAGTTCAGCGAAGCGTTGGTCATGGATGCTGCAATTCAAAGGACAAGGTGACAGGTGTGAGAGGATTCGCCAGAATTCGCCCTAAGCGTGCGCAGGATTAAACTAACGTCCGCATTTGTGCACAAGGGGAGAAGTTGCCAGTTTGTCTATATCTGTGGCCTGCGATGGCTGCATCGGGAGCCCAGCAATTGCTCGCCCACCGATCAACGCAGCCTTGTGGATAGTTCTGCGGTCTTCATCATCCCTATTCCCTTCCAATCCCCCCGAGGCCGATATGTCTGAACCGTGGACTACTCCCATTGCTGTTGCAACTGCCTTTTCCTTTATCGGCTGCGTCTTTGTAGGTGTTCCGCTGTATTGGCATTTGGAAGGTACGCCCCATTACCTGTAGCTTTTCCTCTCGATGATGTTTACGAAGCTCATAGCGTGGAATGTGGGGTGTATTGTGTACATCTTTTGGAGCGGCTCACAATGCCTCATTCAATTCATCAACATGATCATCTGGAGGGACAACGTCATCAACTGGGCTCCGGTTTGGTGTGACATCAGTATGTTGTCCGTATTTCCAAATAGTTATGTGTCTCATTGTCCATATTGTAGCTTCTCGATGGCGCTTGGCTTCGAGTATTGGAGTATGTACTGCTTCGCTCATCATCAACCGTCGTCTCTACAAGATTGCGAGCGTATCTGCCGTGTCCAACCAAGCAGATCGGCGACGCATCATAGCTGTCGATCTGGCAATTGGGATTATCCCATCCATTGTAGTGGTTGCGCTATGTGAGTATTTCCAAGACGGGCTTTTTATCAGCTCGGTGTTGATATTCTTTTGGCAGTCTGGTTTATTCAAGGGCACCGCTTCGACATCTATGAAGGTTATGGATGCGCTCCCGAGTTCCCCAACACTATCCTGTCGTATTTCCTATACACGGCATGGCCGGTTGTAATTGGTCTCATCTCGATGACGTATTGCTGTACGTTGGTTGTGTTGCTTTCCTTTAGCACAATGCTTATTCATGGATTTAGCCATGACACTCTACGCATTCTACAAGAGACGCAAACATCTTGCGGAACTCATGTCTTCCAACAAGAATCTGACATATAACCGATACCTTCGTCTGATGGGACTCGCTTCTATCGAGATGTTGTGCACTCTTCCTTTGGGCGCGTGGGTTATGGCGTCCAATGCCAGGAACCCGCTGTACGTCTGGTACGGTTTGGGCAATCTGCACTATGACTTCTCTCGCGTCGACCAATACCCGGCTATTTTGTGGTGGAACGTCCCTCAAATGCGCAGTGCAATCCTCTTTAATATTTGGGATATCATTTCCTGCACTTTCGTCTTCTTCGCTTTCTTCGGCTGCGCCGAGGAGGCAAGAAGGCACTATCAGTCCGCAATTACATCCGTTGCGAAGCGGATTGGCATTTCCACCAGCTTCTTGTCTCGCTCTGGTTCTGGTGCCACCGGCTCATTTGGGTATGTATTGTTGTTTATATCCTTTCGGCGGATTTTGTTGTTGACCCATCATTGTCTTGATAGGTATGCGGGCGGCTCAAAACCTACGCCCAGTGCTCTCGGTCGGATCACCATCCCCACGTTCTCACCGCGCAAGAGGCGAGACTCGGATACTTCATTCTCCGACAGGCTGTCGACGTCTATCTCACTCGAGGACACTCCCATCGACGATCGCAAGTTGGCACCCTACTCTCCTTCGCAGCGTTCGGCCGGCTCGAGCACATTTATCCCGTCGCCATGCTCACCGAAGTTTGCGGACGAGAAATACGAGTCGTTCGTGCTTCCCGCTTCTCCACCTCCTGTCCATGACACGGCTGCTCTCGCGCGACTCACTCCCGACGTCCCCTCACCGGTGCGCCGCGACTCCATGGAAGACATTGTCTGACTTTCTGGGGCCCATGTGTGCACCGTACAAAACTATCATTTGTGTTGTTGGAAACCTCCCCGCTCTTTGCCTTGTTTATCCTCACTTATCGGGCTGCTCAGATAACTGTATTGCTAGACCGGCTTCGACTGACTTTCGGATGGATTATTTGTGTTACTAGTGCTATTGTCCCGCCAGCTCATACCCTTTTGGCTGGTGTAATTGTTTTGGTGTATGTGTATATCTGTCCGGTCGATCGACACTATGTTGTAGCGTTCCAATAGAGCTCTCCCAATAAAAAAACTTAGTTGGCAACATCAAACTAGTAGAGGGTGGTGTACAAAAGTAAGACTACATCATGTTTGTCATATCAATACAAATGACTCCACCAAGTCCAAAGGTCCGTCACTGGCTAATGTACATAGTCGGAATGTATGAAACTGGGTATGGACGAAAGCATACAGGATCGAGGAGAGCTAATCTGAATGTAAAAAATGTGGTATGAACGAAAGCGCACAGAATCAAGGAGAACATATGAGGGGCGCTTTCTTGCCCCACTCGTTCTTCTCGAGCTCTCCGATGATGAAGACCGCAAAAGCGGTTCTAGACAGGGTCGTCTTCGTCTTCCCGTCACCCACATATCCAGCGACCACTTCCCTAGTGCCATGATTGTTGAGCAGAGGCACTCTGACGATCGTCCACTCCAGGTCCTCGCCCTGCGACCTGATCGTGTCACCGATCGCGACAATGTCGTTGTATGCGGAATGCGCAAAGATCATGATGCCGCTGACGAGAGCGGCGAACGTCACGCTGAACTTGTCGTGTTCGTCCTTGATGCTCGCCGTTCCGAGCGCGATGAGGCGGCGGACGCCGTGTTTCTTCATGATATCGATGACGAGGGAGTATGCGTGGGCGAGGGGAGTGTTGCTGGGGTGAGACGCGCCCGGTCCCAGTGCAGAGAGCACGGCGTCCACACCCTCTATTGCTTTTGTCAGTGCATCAGCATCGGTAAGCTGTCCTTCAAGGACAGTCACGGATACGCTGTCGGTGATGGACGGAGGGAGCTTCCCAGGCGAACGGGCATATACGACGACAGTGTGCGACGATGCGAGAGCCTCCTCGATGAGTTTGATCCCGCTAGGTCCGGTCCCACCGAGGATGAGGAGACGCATGTGTGCGGGCGTTGGATGGGCGTTGAAGTTGTGGTGAGGGACGAGGTGGGAGTTGCAGGCTGAGTGTCGTCGATTCTCACCGCGTCGCGCGATGCGACGCGAGTGTGGCGCGCAAAAGCGCGTGACCGATCTTCGCGATCGGCGTCAATGCCCAGCGTGTGCAGCCCGTGTTTTACACTGAGGGCTGTGGCCCAGTTCGACACAGCAAACGCAGTCAAAAAATCACTTTTCGTCATTTTCCTCCCGAAAGCGTCTTCTGGCCGTGCAATCATCTCTGTATTCTCTGATCAAAAGAAGAAAGAACGGCAATGTCCTGTTGCCCATAGCGTATAAGACGTCTCGCCCAGCAGAATTTAAACTAGAGCTTCGTTGTTGATTCGACGCAAACGCGACGTCTGGTACTAGGAACATGCTTCGGACACTGACCACCTTTTCCCTCCTACTGGTCGGCTTTCGGGCGGCAGGAGCTCAAGCTGCCAACTCTTTCGCAGGATCAAACCTATACTATGCTGCCGGCCTCTACGACGATGACAGGACCACGTTATTAGAGTAAAGTCCCACACAATTCACATAATTTGCGTCTTTTGATGCCATATGTACAACCAAGGGGACTTCAAAGTGCTGGGATGAAGGTTCTGCGTGTCTGGCTTGACGGGCAGTCTGAAACCCAGAAGGTGACAAGAAGTATCGTCCTCCCCCTGAATGTGATCTTATAGAACATTTCTCGATCTTAGGGAACCAATATAAGCCCTTTCCCTGATTTAGAACCCACACAGATTTGTGACGGGGTTGCCTCCTGCTATAACGACACAGTACTCGAGCGGCTCGACGACTTTATGGTCGCTGCAAATTCGTATGGTATCAAGGTATATCACCTTCAATCTGATCGCATTTGTGGAATATAATCATTGCAACAGCTACTCATCGACATGCACAGCTATAACGCTCTTGCAGCGGGAGACGTGTACGGAGCTGCTTATGGTATCGAGGACTTTTACACAGACAGCGATGCACAGTCTGCATTCGACCAGCGCCTCATTCACGTTGTCAATCACGTCCACACGACCCTTGGTCAACCTTGGAAAGAACTGAACGACTATATCTTTGGTTTTGAGGCTGAAAACGAGGCCATGATTGGAGACGTCAGTAATACTGTAGCGCCTTTCATCGGGCCTCATACTTAACAGAAATACAATAGGGCCAGACATTTATCGAGGATCATCAACAATGGTAAGCAAATGAGAACTAAAAGAGTTACTTTGATCGAACTTAGTCGGTCACATTCAGGCAGTGTGACCGTGCCACCACCATCAAGGGCCAGCTCGGAGGCAACAGCGGTGTAAGCCGCACTCTTCTGGGGTCTCTGTGTCTCAATTTCATTCGCGTTCTCTCGTCTGTAGATATTGGTCATGACCGGTGGAGAATCATGGATGGCAGAGTCGGTCCAGCCCGATTTCCTCTCTTGCGACGCACTGGACGTCATTTCCATCCATGCGTACGGCACCGGTGACTATGACACGTCGTCCATCGAGAGCTACGTCAGCCAGGCACAGTCCGCGGGGAAGATGCTCATCATGGAGGAATGGTGAGCCTCTGTCATACCTCATCATGCTAGCGTCATCATGCTAAACTATGTCTACTTTACGCGCATTTGACATCGTCAACAGGGGCGCGTGTTACTTTAACACCTCAAACAACGACTGTCCGACCGGCGCCCCACTTGCATCCGACACGCGGAACGCCAACATCAAACAGTGGGCTGGTACCATCACCGCTGCAGGCCTGCCTTGGCTGTATTGGGAGGTGATTCCCAATGCTGACCCTCACGTACGTGCTCCACTGCGGCTGTTAGAGCGTTTCGAGGGTATGCGCTCATTTTGTCTCCTTGGCAGTGGGGCAGCGACTATGAAATTGGATTAGTAGATGATCCATCCTGGAGCACGTTACAGGACGTTGCTCAAGCCGCCTTGGGCGCTACTGCAGCCTTCGATTTCTCGCCTTATCTCCTGTGATATCTTAGGGCGACTGCCATATGTCAGCTAACTTCGACCCTACTTATGTGCGATTGTTCTTCCTCTCCACCTTTCGTGTGGCCGCATTAGTATGATCAACGCCTCGCTTCGAATTCGTTTCACTTGTCTATTAGCTCTCTTACCAAAAATATCACAACCGTTCTCAGAAGTGCCGGATCGCGGTGGGTCCGCCCGAGGAATAGATTGGAAGGGAAATTGCTAGACATGAACTAGAATTACACCAGACACATTGTACAGACATAATAATACATGATGAAAGACGATCAATGAGACTAACTGTACATTAGCTCTCTCAGCCAAAGCAAGGGGGTAGCAGACATTCCCGTAATGCCGCAGATGCAAGGCTGCTCCAACAACGGCTCGCGTAGAGAGTGCCAGAACACCATTTAAGTATAAACGTAAACACCTGCGACATCCCAGTAGGCCTCGGAGAATGCGCTGGGGTTCTCGTTGACATAATCTATCGCAGTGTGAGAACTAGAACTGAACGCATCGTTGGAGAATATTGTCCTACCAACGCAAGTATCTGGACATCCTGCATCAGAATAAATAGATGATACACCGGCCCAATCGCCACCTGTAAAACGTTAACAACCAGCTGATGAGATCACCGCAGGCATGCTTACAGAGGGTTAGGTCGAAAATGATGTTGTTCGCGCCAAAGACGGACCCAATGTCACAGTCGGTGTTGGGAAAGTTCGCGACCGGTGTGCCCTAATCCCGTATATGGTGTCAATAGACACGTTCAAACAGCCACAGAAAGATTCATACCCAGTTACTCGTGTCCACGGAGCTTGCAGCGGAAGACACATCTGATGGCACGCTCGAGTCGTCTCTAGTCCAAAACCAGACGTTGATGTAGGAGGTCGTCCTCTCCATCGCATACCAGCCCCCACCAGCGGAGTTGAAGTCGGGACCATAGCTGTTCGAGGTAGGGTTTTGAACTCCACATCCGCTGTTTCCGTCAGTGTTGACGTCGCAGTTTGTTGCGCTTATCGTGCTGGCGACGAGGAGGGAATATAGTCAATCAACTGTGTTAGGTCATAGTGCATACAACTCACCCAGTTTGGTCGCTGTTCGACGAGGGAATCGAACATGTGCTGCCCACATGCAGAGAAATGGTATTCGGAGACACGTCATTCACACCTTCAATCCTATAGAAAAACCATCTGTCAGAGACGTCAATGTGGCGGATAATTCGCGGACTCACTTTAGCGATCGAGGGAATAGTCACATATGGCACACATGCCAACGGCCCGAGGTCAGCATTGAGTGGAGTAATCCGAACACGTGCATCTACGTACTATATCGACTTCACCATCGGTAGGCCAGTCTTCATCGTTGGTCTCCCAGGCAGCAGGCCAAGTGGCGCAGCCTTGAGGCATGTGCCTGATGTTAAAGCTGCATGGAAGTTAAGAAATAGCTTGGCAAAGTGTTAAATTTAGTACATACACAACAACGTGAGTCGTATACTGCGCGTTGCTTTTGATACGGACACTGTTTCTACCAGGTCCGTCGGCCGTCAACACGGTCGTATCATCACATCGCATGATGAGCGTGTCCCCCGACGCGTAAGTCAAGTTGTCGGCCAACGCAGTCGCTTGGTCAACATAATTTCTATGCGCAAATCAGCACAGATTCCCTCAGGCATTCGGACATGAACTTACACTCTGCCACCAGTGGGATCGGTGATAGCCTCGAATGACCATGTATCTAGGAAATCCGTGCCTACATATGAAGTGTCAAGATCGTAGACGGCCCCACCGAGTACGCCGACAGTCAAGGACAACAAAGTCAAGAGAGACGTCGCAGACCGCATGATGAGGATCCGTGAGGGGAGGGTGAGGAATGCACAGCGCCGGATGTGCACTTTATAGTGCAAGGAGCAGGGGATAACATGCGCATGGGTATGTCCACGGATGATTTCGTCACAAGGTGCTTCAATGCGACCACATGGAAGGTATGCATATGGGCTCAAGAGTGCATGCTCAACCAGAATACCTCTGGTCCGGCCGTCCGAGGGTTGGCCGCCTCTGACGAGTGTTCACATCACCAGCTCAATCGGTGTCCCAATGGAAAGCACACCCGGATCCTGAGATGCCCCGCTGCAGATCCAAATTATCGGAGATACCTTGCGTAAACAGACATATGCCGGTGTGACTGCCACGTAGGATTCCATTCCATACTTGGGGATGTAGTCGCCGAAGCTCAATGGCCTCTAGTCGGCAATTCACTATATACGGAACGCTGCGCAGTTGTCCTCAGTTCGATTGGGACGGGTGTTACATGCTTACTTTTGATCTTATCAGAGTTTCCAACCTATAACCATGAATCCGTATCCCCCGATCTGAGGTCTGTGACCATCGATGAACTCTATGCTAAAGACGCTTCAAATCATGAGGAAGTGGAGCGCCGAGCCACATGTGATGATATGTGAGGACGCGCACGACCATAAATGATTGACCAGGGGTGAATCATCTGTATCGGGACCCATGATGTGAGATAACAGAAGTAGAAGCGTCGAAAGGACTAAGGTAAAAGGCCATAAGTACTTCATGCATACGGACAGAGTGGTCAATTGTGCGAGTCGGAACGCTGATCAGACGCGCGGCGTCCGTCCTCGACGGGAAGTGAGGATGTGATGCCGTGAACTCCTGAGGTAACATGGAATATTGCAGAGGTCCGGTCAAGTGATGAATCGTAACCCCCGGTAAGTGCCGGAGCGCGGACGACAGCCAACGGGACAAACGGCGACAGAGTTTGCCAGTCTCCAGGAGTCAACATACCAGGGCTTGATATGGTGATGATGTCAGATTCTCTCCAGTCTCCAAAAAGCCTCCGTAGGGCTGGTGGAACACCCAATTGCAGTAAGTCAAGGTCGGTCCCTACCGCTCACCTGACACGTACCACACGGGAATGCGTGCGATCAGAGTGAGATTCGGACCATTGGGCCAACTAGCTGCGCACGTATTCCCGCGTGGGGCGGACCAAGAACGGACCACCTCCCCGTTGCTTTGACCTTTGATGGATATCCTTCTGGAGGAAACATCATATCAGTTACCGTAAGAGTAAGCGATATCGATGTTCAATGCCCAGTCCATCGCGTAGGTTGAATGCCAGAGGTCTCGATCTTGCGCCACGAGGGCAGGGATACATTCCGTGGATACGCCATCGCAGGCCCAAGACGACCAGGATAAAATTGAAATTAAAGAGATGAACTCAACTGATGGAGACGACCAATATTATAAGCATGATGATAATATATATCGGATACTGTTGAAATACATACGATTTTCCGCAAGCATCATCCGAGAGGTGCTCGAACCCAGTCACCTGCTTGCTCGATCTCCTTCTCAAATGTCCGGATTGCATGCACGGACTCATCCCGCTCGTGCATATCAAGGGGAGCCATTTCTCTGCCATACACCTGGCCAAAGGTCGCTACCAGCCCCTCTATCTCCCCTTCGACCGTAATTGCGCTGCCCCTTGAGCCGTTGACTTTAACGGCGTCAGCGATACAGCCGGCGCTGACTTCCGCTAAGCCACATGCAACTACCTTCGCAAACCATGCGAGAGGCTCTCGGGTAACGTTCATAGCGAACCCGTGGGTCGTCAACCTGTGCCTCACTTGCACTCCGATGCTAGCGACTTTTGTCGTCTCGTCTAGAAACACTCCCGTGTTATCACTCGGCACATGTGCGACACCATGTCTTTCTAACAGATGTGCCTCAAGCGTCCGTTGCATGTTGCAGATATAAGGACGAATGCCGAGAGGCGGAGACCAGCGAGCTAGATCTAAAAGGGGATATCCAACAATCTGGCCGGGTCCATGGTATGTGGTCTGCCCTCCGCGCTGAGTCGCTACGAAATCAGCACCGATTCCCCGCAACCGTGCCGCCTCCACTTGGACCTCAGGGGAAGTAGAAAGTTGTCTACGCCCTGCGGTGTAAACCGGGCGGTGTTGCAGCAGAAGGAGGATGTCTTTGTAGGATCCCGAGGTTCGCCGAGTCGCAAGCTGAATCCTATGAAGTTGTTCTTGAAGAGCCAAAGTCCTTGTATAAGGTAGAGGAAGCGTAAAATAATGATAGAATATTGGAGGGAGATTCGCCATGGAATCTGCGGCGAGGGTCCAGGACGAGTTGTGGGAACACGAACTTGAACCACAGACGCAACGGCGCTAGTGGAATTGCTTATGGCTGCTGTGGCGGCGCTTGCTGTCACTGCTTACTGCACTTATACCCGACCTGTATTGTACACACTTGCTACGAAGAGCTTCGAAAGGCGACGCGTCTACACATCTAACTTTGAGCACGCTAAGCATTGTACTGGATAGAGAACGAAACCCCCGGATCACAGGTGCTCGATATATTTGTTCATAGTATCTGTTATCGTCGCCACAGTGAGTGAGCGAAGTCACAACTCGGCCTCTGACCCAAGTGTAATCTACTAAAGGTAGCTCTCCAAAATTTTAGATCAAGCCACTATGACTGCTCGGTCACGACGAAGCTTCATAGTCGGGGTGGGATGTACAGCATTCATTAAGGTATGTGAAACCTGCATATCACAGTCTCGCATTCCATTCCTGACTCTGTACCTATGACAGCCAAGGAGAACTAGAACAACTGAAGACGTGAGTTGACCGTGAATGTGTTAACTATGCGTCACATACGCGGAATGGCAGATGGGACTGGAAGCTGGAACGAAGGCGCTTCTGGATGCAGGTGTGTATCAGCTAGCATATAGATCTCACCAGTGCGTTGACATTGATTTTCAGGATTGACCTACGACGATGTAGAGACGGCGTTTGTTGGATTCTGTTATGGTGACTCTACGAGCGGCCAGGTGAGCATAGTCGCCATGCACGGCGTTCATACTAATCGAGTTTTTCTTCAGAGAGCACTGTACAATCTCGGTATGACTGGAATCCCCATCACGAATGTCAACAACAACTGCTCAACTGGAAGCGCTGCTTTATACCATGCAAATAACATGGTGAAATATGGCGCGGCGGAATGTGCCCTTGCTCTTGGATTTGAGCGAATGGCACCCGGCAGTCTCGGCACTAACTTTCCCGATAGGCCATCTCCGCTTAAACCGTTCGATGACGCGACGGAAGAAGTCGAGGAAAGTCTTACAAGTGGCACTAACTTTGGGCCCGGAAGTGCAAGACTGTTTTCCAATGCTGGACAAGAGTACTTTGACAAATACGGCGCAAATGTAAAGCACCTTGCCCAAATTGGTGATGGCTTTATCAGTATGTCATGAGTTCAGCAGATTGATGAGATTTTTTTCACTAGCCTCCAAGAACCATAAGCACTCCCTCAACAATCCCTATGCCCAATTTCGCAATGGATGGTCGGCTGAGCAGGTGCTGGCTGCTCCGCAAATCACTAAACAGTTGACCAAGCTCATGTGCAGTCCCACATCGGTATTTATGTATACCTTCATTTCATTCCTGGATATCGCTTAGTCAAATGGTCGCAGGATGGTGCAGCTTGCTGCATAGTCGCGTCGGAGAGCTTCGTACGAGCACACCATTTAGAGAACCAAGCCATTGAGATTGTTTCTCAGGCTCTTTGGACCGATAACCCCTCGACCTTTGAGAGCAAGAGTGCTATGGAGATCGTTGGGTTTAGCATGTCCAAAAACTGCGCCGACCAAGTTTTTCTGGACGCTGGGTTTGAACCAGGCGAAGGTAGAGACCAAGTGGGTGTAGTGGAACTCCATGACTGCTTTGCTACCAATGAGGTGCGTCTGCTTGTGTTATTTGACTAATTTTCTATCTAAACGCTCATACAGTTAATTACCTATGATGCACTAGGCCTGTGCGCTCCGGGTCAAGCGGCACGACTAATTGAACGTGGGGATAATACAGTGAGGAGCCAAGCACCTTTAAGTAAAGGGGACCGCTAATTCAGGCGCATAGTACGGTGGCAAATATGTTATCAATCCTAGCGGCGGACTCGAGGCAAAGGGTCATCCTTTAGGAGCTACAGGCTTAGGCATGCACTTCTATATTACTAGTGCGTATACCTTCTTCCGAACCCCGAACCAATGGGAGCGTGCTCATTTCGTATCTGTCAGTGCAACTGCGCGGCTGTAAGCACAACTTTATCCGCTTCGTGACCATGATGGTTTTCAATTTATGAATTGACACCCAGGGGCTGGTCCGATGCAAGCTCCAGGTCTTTTTGATGGACCGGATGAGCGAGGTAGCTTTGGACTCGTTCATAACGTTGGGCTAGGAGGTGCTGTTGTTTGCAGCCTTCTGCGCCGCCCGGAGTTCTATCGCCCCGGCGGAGAGGACGGCAGACACAGGTGCGTGATAGATGCTCTGATTTCGGGCGTCTTGGTAACGGGTAATTACGCTGCGCCAGACTTGGCTACAATCACGCTCACGAATGCAGACCCGTCGCCTTGGCAGATGTCAACAAAGTCAAGTCGACCAAGTTCTCACCCTACATTCTGCAGAGAGCTAGGCTTTGAACAAGGTGGTGTATGACCCTTGCTTGATGCCTCTCACACCATGCTCCGACTGACAAGCTGTCGCGACCCTGGTGGCGCAACTGATCAGAACTTGTCTGTTCGGGATGTCGCATGCCCTCTGCAGACTGCATCCGTTGGATAGAGTGAGTTTATTGAGTCCATTGAATGATTACAAATGTGTATGCTAAAGTGTCAGTGGTCGAACATGGGAGTGTATGATACATCAGTGTAGCTAAAGTCCTTCGTAACGTTCGTACATGCAGACTCGTCATTTCAACACCTTGATTTACTACGTTTGCTTCGTCTTGGAGGTGAACCCCAGGCGCAGTCGTCTTCGTCCAACATCTCTGCCTGAATCAAATATGTCATCAATTTGACATCACGCACGGACCTGAGTACAACTTACCACATCCCTATGCGACGTGTGGGGTGTTGGTTGTGATGTACTGGGGACGAAGAGAGGCTGCGAGTCGCACCATTGAGGGCCTGTGTATATATAAGATAATCCAGGAACATGCCACGCACCAGCTTCACCGTGTACTGTTGTGTCAAGGAGTTATCGATCACAGTCAGGACGGGATTTACGCCCTTGGTCGCCGATCGCTATGGAGGAGGGACTGTCAGCTTGAGTGTCTACTATCAGAGTTGCGGGCACCAACCTTGCCTGGCCGAGAAAATGAGAACTTGGGGAAAGTCATGATAGAGGGCGTGTAGGATACGGCGTGCAGAGGTAATGGCCGACGGGGAGAGTGGATATCCACTACGACCGCTGTGTTTGTAGTGGTCTTATATGCATCAGCTGAGCTCCGGCGTTTAGCAACTGCAGCTGTGCATGGTGCCGAACTGCTCTAGATAGGGTCTTGCGTTAGGGCGCATTGGGAGCGCATGACAGGTTACAAACTCAATTTCAGCGCTATCCGGCCTGTCAGCCTGGAGTCGCGGCATCTATTCGCGTAGCGCTGTTGGGCGGACGAGTGGTGTGTCTCGAGCGGGCGCACCACGAAGCCATCGCGCGTTCTCCCGTGCGTGAGGCTGAGGCCGAGTTCGCACGCATTGCCCTGAAATTGCAGTGGTTCTCCGATTCTTCGAACCCATGCGTTGCGGGATTTGGCAATATGTCAGAGTGTTGCGCCGAGCATGTGACGATTCAATTTAAAACAATCTGAACGTGGACGGACTCCATCCGTAGTTCGCACTAAAGTAACGGCAGGGTGTCCCGAGCACGTTGGGTATACGATATCGGAAGCCTGCAAGGCATGCATTTACTGAGCGACGACAGATGAATGAAGGCGTGTTGACGTCGGAGTACGGACCGTGTCCTGAGGAAGCAAGTACGAGTGGTCGAAGATAATAACAATACTTATGAAGTTGAGGACGGCAGATGCAGAGAACAGGTTTGCTCTCTTTGACGTATGGAGTCGGCAGATAACGAAGAATCGCTGAACGCGGCCATGGTGCAAAGTGGCGATTGATGCCGAGGACACAGACACGGTCATAAAGCCCCGCGTCTGCAAGACTTCGGAGAAAAAATATCTTCATGGGACAAAAATAACACTGTGGACTCATCAGAGACATGACGGTGTGCTCATACCGATGGAGCTCTTCCGCAGAAAATGCTCAATAGAGGCGATCTGTCGATGGGCAGAAGCACGAGCGCGAGAGCGTTCGCTTGAAAATTTCTTACGACCACAGCGTGTGAGAGAAGCTGATATCCTACGCAACATCAGCATCCCGATTTTGGGCCAATAGAAATGCGACGGACCCAAGGCGCAAAATCCGAATGCAGCGTATTTCTGCACACCGACTGCTTTGTTAAAAATAGGTCGTGGGTAGGATCGATGTGGGTCGCCATTTTGCCATCCGCTTCGACACAGGAATTGGAGCCCACCGGCGGTACATTAGAATCCGGGGGGGG